CATCTTCAGCATCGTAAGTGTACAATTAATCAATTGGTTCCAGGGCGTTACACTCTGAAAGTCAGTAGTGAAGGTACTTCATTCCGAGATAGAAATGGTCCAGTGTTGGAGGTTTTGCCCAGGTCTGGTCGTTTATTGCTATGGCCAACTTTAGGACCTGTGTTGGGTGGAACAAGAATATGGTTGTCGTTTGTAGATCCCATGGATTATAACGAAATTCTGGTGGTGAAATTTGGTACAATTGAGGTGGTAGGTAAACTGTACAACCATTCTCATATCTTGCTTGTGGCTCCACCGTCAAAGGCTCGATCCCCGTGCGTTGTACAAGTGCAGTCATCACTTCCCTATCCAATATCTACCCGATATCAGTATTACCTCCCTCCAATGGTCAATGGCATCTCTCCATCTGTTGGGCATGTTGGCGATTCTGACATTCGGATATATATATCTGGAACTTTATTCCAACCTGACTTGCTTAGGGTAAGGTTCGGAACAGAAACATTAGATGCTAAAAAGACTACTTTCGTAACTTCCACCTTGCTGCTCTGTAGTGCACCTATCGTATATCATGAACGAGTGGTACATGTCACTTTTACGGTTGATGGTCAAGAATACCTTGATGGTGTAGAAGTCTCAAGATTCGTCTATGTAAAGACTCCTCAGGTTTTCGAAGTAGTGCACAACCATTGCATCAGAGATGAGGATTTGATTACAGTTGTTGGAGACAGCTTTTCAGAACTGTCAGTTTCTGAATGTCGATTTGCACATAGAACGACAACTCGTGGCTTTCTGATGTCTTCTTCAGCGATAACATGCTCTGTGCCACAAATTTCCTACAAGCAAACTCTGCTCAACATTGTGGTTGATGGAAGGAAGATCTTCAAGTCTGAAATTTCAAAATGTCAGCGCGATGGAGTCAGAATACATCCAAGTCTTGGTCCCAGCACCGGAGGATCCCAAATATTGGTGGAGAGCCAACATCAAGAAATGCGCCCTCGTGACCCAGTACGGTGCTGGTTCAGACAATCTGTAGTACAAGGGAGATGGATAGCCTCAAACAAAGTTGAATGTATTTCACCTCCTTTCTCAGGTCTACATAATTCCACAGAAGCTGTAACACTGTCAGTTATCAGCGGAAGCTACAAAATGGAATCCATATTCTTATACTTTGTACCATCCCAAATATACGACATTACCCCAAGGACAACTTATGCCGGCACATCTCAAACATTGACAGTGATTGGACAGGCATTTCATGGCGAGCTTGTGCCATCTTGCATCTTCAATCGCTTGACGAGAAGAAGCGATGTGAAAACATTGTCATCAACAAAACTCGTGTGCAATGTCGGCAACTTGCAGGCATCAAATTATTTCCTTACAATTGAGTACAAGTACACAGGTAATCAAAGTTCAACGAACCCGATTTTGATCGAGCTCCTGAAGCCTCCACAAATTGAATCACTGACCTCCGAGATGAAAACTAGCAACCCCCCGATCATACAATTGAGAGGCAAACATTTCAATCCGTACCAGCATCGTCTTGACTGCTGGTTCGGCTTCCGAGTGAGCACTCCAGCCCTCTATTCCAGCTCTACTCTGGTCAAGTGTGCCGTGCCGAAGCTCCTTCCCGGTACCGTCGCTGTTTACTTGGGCGATGAGCAGGGCATACATGGCAATAGCAACGGTCAATACACGGTCGTAAGTAGGGGACATGTCCATGCAGTCGAGCCGAGCAGCGGGCCGGTGACAGGAGGTACCGCCGTCGTCATGAGCGTGCGAGGAGGTGCAGGCTTTGCGTCAGCTATCTTCTGTCGTATTGGGGAAGGTCAGGTGGTGCAGGCCCAAGCGCTCAGCAGCTCCAGGATCCTTTGCACCATGCCGGCTGTACAGAAGAGCGGGACAGTGCTGATACGGGCAGTAGAGGGAGCCCAAGGGTCGAGTAGGGGCCTTGAGGGAGAAGTGAGGTATGTTTACTACAATGAGCCTGTGGTGACTCGCGTGGAGCCAAGCAGTGGCGCTCTGGAAGGGGGTACCATGCTGAGCCTGTATGGGCGGGGGCTGGAAGAAGGCAGCAATCTAACGTGCAGGTTCGGGACCGGAGATGCGGTCGCAGGCCGGCAAGAGACTTCTACGATGGCCACCTGTGTTGCACCCCCGCGCCCAGTCAAGGACGTCGTCTGGTTGCAGGTGAGCCTCAACGGAGGCGCGGACTTCTCCGGATCTGCAGTCGAGTACGCATATGAGGCCGGGGCTACGGTGGACGAGGTGAGGCCGTCCGCGGGAGATAGCGGGGTCGACGGTCAGACCGTGACCGTGATAGGCCGCCACTTCGGGTCGGGACAAGGGCTGAGCTGCTTGTTCGGGACAAGGGGGCGGGTACGGGGCATGCCGATGACGTCGACGGCGGTAGTCTGTGTAGCGCCGAGAGGGGGTCCGGGGGCGGTCGGGGTATCGGTGAGCAACAACGGAGTGGATGAAGGGCAAACAAGGGGCGGGTTCGTGTACAGCGGTGATCTTAAGGTAATACGCAAGGTCACCCCAAGCTCAGGGCCGTTGGCTGGGGGTACCAACGTGACCATAGCAGTCGACGGTTTGCGTCGGGCGGCGTTGTCATGGACGACAGAGAGACCTTTGTGGTGTTTATTCCGGGGAATTTCGGAAAACAGAAACGCAGTAAGGGGACGGGCTTTGACCACGTCGCTGATCAGCTGTAAGTCGCCTACAAGCTTGCGGGCAGGAGAAACGAAGATAGAGATAGAACTGTCCAACCATGGTCCAACATTGAGTATAGAGTCTGCATTCGTCTACTACGAGGGGCCAGAGGTGAGCTCGGTGGTGCCCAGCATAGGGAGACAGACGGGAGGTATGGTGGTAAGTGTCGTGGGCCAGGGCCTCATATCCCGAGATCCCGTTTGTCAATTTGGCCCGTCCATAGTCCAGGGCAAGGACGTTACGAGCCTTAGCTCATCATTGCTGCTATGTACCACGCCCGCATCACTGCTTGGCAGTACGGTAGTCAGGCTGCAGGTGAGCCTCAACGGAGGCGCGGACTTCTCCGGATCTGCAGTCGAGTACGCATATGAGGCCGGGGCTACGGTGGACGAGGTGAGGCCGTCCGCGGGAGATAGCGGGGTCGACGGTCAGACCGTGACGGTGATAGGCCGCCACTTCGGGTCGGGACAAGGGCTGAGCTGCTTGTTCGGGACAAGGGGGCGGGTACGGGGCATGCCGATGACGTCGACGGCGGTAGTCTGTGTAGCGCCGAGAGGGGGTCCGGGGGCGGTCGGGGTATCGGTGAGCAACAACGGAGTGGATGAAGGGCAAACAAGGGGCGGGTTCGTGTACAGCGGTGATCTTAAGGTAATACGCAAGGTCACCCCAAGCTCAGGGCCGTTGGCTGGGGGTACCAACGTGACCATAGCAGTCGACGGTTTGCGTCGGGCGGCGTTGTCATGGACGACAGAGAGACCTTGGGGTTGCGTTTTTGGAACCTCAGTCGTGCAAGCACAAGCTTTGACCACGTCGCTGATCAGCTGTAAGTCGCCTACAAGCTTGCGGGCAGGAGAAACGAAGATGTCGTTGGTGGACGATCTTGGTAACGTCGTTGTCAAGGGCAAGTCTGCATTCGTCTACTACGAGGGGCCAGAGGTAAGCTCGGTGGTGCCCAGCATAGGGAGACAGACGGGAGGTATGGTGGTAAGTGTCGTGGGCCAGGGCCTCATATCCCGAGATCCCGTTTGTCAATTTGGCCCGTCCATAGTCCAGGGCAAGGACGTTACGAGCCTTAGCTCATCATTGCTGCTATGTACCACGCCCGCATCACTGCTTGGCAGTACGGTAGTCAGGCTGCAGGTGAGCCTCAACGGAGGCGCGGACTTCTCCGGATCTGCAGTCGAGTACGCATATGAGGCCGGGGCTACGGTGGACGAGGTGAGGCCGTCCGCGGGAGATAGCGGGGTCGACGGGCAGACCGTGACGGTGATAGGCCGCCACTTCGGGTCGGGACAAGGGCTGAGCTGCTTGTTCGGGACAAGGGGGCGGGTACGGGGCATGCCGATGACGTCGACGGCGGTAGTCTGTGTAGCGCCGAGAGGGGGTCCGGGGGCGGTCGGGGTATCGGTGAGCAACAACGGAGTAGAAGGAGAGACCGCTAGCGGCATCGTCAGCGTGAGGTATGAGTACCGCTCAGGGATGTCAGCAAAGTCCGTGGTACCTAGTCAGGGACCGTCAGTGGGAGGAACGGTCGTGAGAGTGATGCTTGAAGGGACGATCGGAGGTGAGGACGGGACTGGGGAGTGGCTCTGTGTATTCGGAGACTCTATGAGCCGCGGGCAATTGAACGTGTCATCGCCGGACAACGCTTCCGTGGCATGCAATCTGCCACCATCGATGCCCTCTACCGTCTCTGTACAAGTGCGACGACCGAGTGGACAGAAGCTATTAGGGGACCTAAGGTTCCAGTACGTACTTCAAGCCAGGCTCATAAGTGTATCTCCAAGTCAAGGTGGAGCAGGGGGAGGATCGAGGGTGACCATCACAGGAGAGGGAATCGGGCGAGAGGGGCTGAGGTGCTGGTTTGGGGACAAGGCCGTGGAGGGGAGAGGCGTGGAGTGGATATCGTCGAGTCTAATCAATTGTTTAGTGCCTGATTTTGGGCGTGTTCAACAATATATTTTTGTGCAGGTTCGCTGGTTTGATTCCTATATTCAAGACTCTCTTTTGTACCATGTACTGGAATCGCATGTCTCTTCTATATGGCCGTTGGCGTTCTGTTCGAAATCGAATAAGCAGTTTATCAATGTTCTTGGAGTTTTCATGACTCGAGATTTCTCGTGCAAGTTTGGCGCTGATGTTGTTTCAGCCAAGGTTGTATCCTCTTCAATGTTGAAATGCCATGTTCCACCAATGGTGCAAAGTGGTCCGCTTCAAATTCTCTCAGGAGATTACATTCTTTTTGAACAGTGGTTGGTGCTGGTCGAGTTTTGCTCTCTTGAGGTTATTCCCTCCAGAGTGGTGGATGGGCACAGTTCACAAATAACCATTTTTGGTCTGTTGAATCCAACATATATTTATCGTGGTCAATTCAATGATATGTCGATTCCAGTTCAATTTCAAAAAGATCATTTTGTTGCAGTTATTCCTCCATTAATCAGTTTTGGCGGAATATATCAATTTGCAGTTTATGATTCTATTCACAATCATACGATTGGAATCACAAGTATTGAGGTGTTTTCTCCTCCCACTGTCTCATTCATCCATCCATCTTGTGGACAAGTCAAAGGAGAATTTGCTGTTGGAATTTATGGTGCACATTTCTTCAACGCGAGAGTTACGATTGGAAGTGTCGTTGTACCGAGCAAACTTATGACGTCTTCTCTGATTAGATGTGTGATACCACCAGTCGAAATTGCTGGAAGTTATCAACTTGAAGTAATGTTTTCCAAAGGAAATGCAGTTCATAACAATTCGAAGGTCATTCTTCTTGAAAAATCACCAAAAATTTTTGGGATTCATCCCAATCCGATAGAAAATCCAACCTTAGGAAAACTCCTTACTGTATTTGGAGAAAATCTCCATTCTAATCTGCATTGCATGTATGGAAATATTACCACTCTTGCTCTTTCGAGCCCTTCATCATCAATTCTGCAATGCAGCTTGCCCTCATTAAAAGTCGGAGTTTTATCTTTCTCTGTATCTTCTACAGGTTACTTGGATCCGAATGCAGATCATCAGTCATTACTTATTCTATTTACCAATCTTAGAATTGTTTCTGTTTATCCAGCTTTATTGCATTCTGGGTATCGCAATTTTGTTCTTCTCAAAATATATCCAACAAAAACGATTTTTAGTGATAATCTGTTTTGTTTGATCAATGATACGGAAGTCAGCAAAGCTTCTGTCTTGAACTCAACAGTTGTTTCATGTGAATTGTATCCGTTTGTGGAAGGAAAAGTCAAAATCAGTCTTTGTTATAAAGATCATTGTGATGCATCCAATCACGCCAACACAATTTCAGTCATTCCTCCTATGAAAATTCATGAGGTCATTCCATCAATAGGACCCATTGGAGGAAATTTCAGAATTTCCATCTATGGACAACATTTCATTCCTAACCATGTCAACTGCTTCTTTGGAAACTATCAGCCTCTGCGTAATGAGTGGATCAGTAGCACTTTGATTACCTGCATGGCATCGCCAATGCCACCAGGCCGAGCTCACCTTCAAATTTCTACCAATCATGGCGGAAAGCTTGTTGCAAGCCTGGCTATAGAATTTGTTGATCAGCCCGTCATCACAGCAATACAGCCTACACATGTTCTCCTTTCGAGCAGTAGTAGACAGGTTGTTACGCTGTATGGACAGCATTTCATTGACAAAGAGATGATGTTATGTCGCTTTGGGCAACGAAAGACAGTGCGAGCTCAGGTGGTACAAGACAACAAGGTTTTGTGTGTGATCCCTGATGATCTTCAACCAGGAAACTCCAGTGTAGAGCTTGTTTATCATGCATCTGTAATAATCTCAAACCCATATGCAATCAACTTTCAAGAATCTGTGGCAGTTTATGAATTCTATCCAAAACGGATCAAATTTAGACATCAACTCATTACGGTAATTGGCACAAGTTTTGACACACAGCAGATGACATATTGCGTCTTCGAGAATGCCCCGAAAAATAAAGCAACCACTTTGTCCTCTACCATGCTATTGTGTGCAGTTCCTTCGATAAAATCTATTTCACAGTTCTATCTTGAGATGAATGGGAATGTCATCAATTCCTTTGGGGGTAACATTTACAGCGAAAGCATGGAAATCAATTTTGTATTTCCTTCAATCTGTGCAACATCAAAAGAATCTATTGTGACAATCTATGGTAAAAATTTTGATGTGAGCGACAATTTTCAATGCGCTTTTGGCAACTTTGTCAATTTTGCTAGTGTTTTATCTTCAACTACATTCGCATGTAGGTGTCCATCTGCGTCTTGGAGTCCCGATTCATCGTCATTGCAGATCTGGAGGCCGGAAGACCCTCAAAACCCGACTACTTTTGCGATCGACTTGATTCCTCTTCCAAGTGTAGAATCAAAAGTGATAGATGTGAAGATCTGCAAGCATCAGCATTTTTTTGTGTCGGGAAGCAATTTTTTTAAACTTTCTTTGCTTGCCTGTAGGTATAACAAAAAGCAAACGATCAAGGCTTTTCACATTTCTTCAACCCTAATTTCTTGCTCCATTCCTTCAACTGTGACACCAATTAGTTTTCTGGATGTAACAAACGATGGGATACATTACAGCGCCGAGATCGTTCAGATTTCGATAGACATGACGAAATATGAAACTATTCTTGACTTAGTCCCAAGCATTGGTTTTGTCAGCGGTGGCACTCGTGTATACCTTCAAACCAGCCACCCTGTGAGATCCGAGGCCTTTAGCCATTGTGTTTTTGGTGACGCTAGTGTGGTACAAGTCCAAAAGAATGCACAAGATCAATATTTCTGTGTTACTCCAGCACACAAGCAAGGTAGTGTCGAAGTTCGAGTTGTGCAGAAGGACTCATCGTCATATGGAGGTCGTCAACCAGGCCCTTCCCTTTCGTTCTTGTACGTCGATGAGCCGGAGGTCACTGGAATCTACCCTAGTCTTATCAAATCTGGTAAACAGACGCTGATCTCCATAACTGGGCGCAATCTGCTTATGCCAGAGGCCTTTTGCAGCTTTGGCAACACAGGAAGCACTCGGGGGCGTGCCATGACGAGCACTCTACTTACCTGCATGGCACCGCCAATGCCACCAGGCCGATCATATTTACAAATCTCACCCAATCAAGTGGACGTTTTTGAAACTTCGGTCATAGTGAGCTGGCGAGATCTCATTGTATATTCCATCCGTCCTTCTGTAGTTCGTAACGGAGAAGGGACTCGTGTCGTAGTAGCGGGGCAGTTCCATGAATGCAAAGAGCTTTATTGTAGGTTTGGTTCCGAGCAGAAATCAGCTGCTGTGTATTCCTCGGCAACCGCAATCATATGCACAACTCCATCGTTGCAGCCTGGGAATCATACTGTTTCAGTGCTGTGTGACGGCACTTGGATCTCCAGCAGCTACACTCAGATTCAAATATTGCATTCTGATATTGTAATGAGCCTCATCCCAAGCATAGGTTTTGTCAGCGGTGGCACTCGTGTACACCTTCAAACCAGCCACCCTGTGAGATCCGAGGCCTTTAGCCATTGTGTTTTTGGTGACGCTAGTGTGGTACAAGTCCAAAAGAATGCACAAGATCAATATTTCTGTGTTACTCCAGCACACAAGCAAGGTAGTGTCGAAGTTCGAGTTGTGCAGAAGGACTCATCGTCATATGGAGGTCGTCAACCAGGCCCTTCCCTTTCGTTCTTGTACGTCGATGAGCCGGAGGTCACTGGAATCTACCCTAGTCTTATCAAATCTGGTAAACAGACGCTGATCTCCATAACTGGGCGCAATCTGCTTATGCCAGAGGCCTTTTGCAGCTTTGGCAACACAGGAAGCACTCGGGGGCGTGCCATGACGAGCACTCTACTTACCTGCATGGCACCGCCAATGCCACCAGGCCGATCATATTTACAAATCTCACCCAATCAAGTGGACGTTTTTGAAACTTCGGTCATAGTGAGCTGGCGAGATCTCATTGTATATTCCATCCGTCCTTCTGTAGTTCGTAACGGAGAAGGGACTCGTGTCGTAGTAGCGGGGCAGTTCCATGAATGCAAAGAGCTTTATTGTAGGTTTGGTTCCGAGCAGAAATCAGCTGCTGTGTATTCCTCGGCAACCGCAATCATATGCACAACTCCATCGTTGCAGCCTGGGAATCATACTGTTTCAGTGCTGTGTGACGGCACTTGGATCTCCAGCAGCTACACTCAGATTCAAATATTGCATTCTGATATTGTAATGAGCCTCATCCCAAGCATAGGTTTTGTCAGCGGTGGCACTCGTGTACACCTTCAAACCAGCCACCCTGTGAGATCCGAGGCCTTTAGCCATTGTGTTTTTGGTGACGCTAGTGTGGTACAAGTCCAAAAGAATGCACAAGATCAATATTTCTGTGTTACTCCAGCACACAAGCAAGGTAGTGTCGAAGTTCGAGTTGTGCAGAAGGACTCATCGTCATATGGAGGTCGTCAACCAGGCCCTTCCCTTTCGTTCTTGTACGTCGATGAGCCGGAGGTCACTGGAATCTACCCTAGTCTTATCAAATCTGGTAAACAGACGCTGATCTCCATAACTGGGCGCAATCTGCTTATGCCAGAGGCCTTTTGCAGCTTTGGCAACACAGGAAGCACTCGGGGGCGTGCCATGACGAGCACTCTACTTACCTGCATGGCACCGCCAATGCCACCAGGCCGATCATATTTACAAATCTCACCCAATCATGGCGGAAAGCTTGTTGCAAGCCTGGCTATAGAATTTGTTGATCAGCCCGTCATCACAGCAATACAGCCTACACATGTTCTCCTTTCGAGCAGTAGTAGACAGGTTGTGACGCTGTATGGACAGCATTTCATTGACAAAGAGATGATGTTATGTCGCTTTGGGCAACGAAAGACAGTGCGAGCTCAGGTGGTACAAGACAACAAGGTTTTGTGCATCTTTCCGAATCTTATTTATGTAGGCAATATGACAGTTTCTGTTGTCGATCATAGTGGATTCTCTTCCAACGAACAGCAATTTGTTGTATTGCCTTCTATTTTGATAGATAGAATTGTTCCATCCTGGTCATTTGCTGATAGCGGTAGTCTGATAACAATATATGCTCGAGAATTTTTGTCGAAAATTTTGCTCACTTGCAATTTTGGGAACCGATCAGTGCTTGTAAGGACTGTATCTGACACTCAAAGCATATGTGCTGCTCCACCGGCCGATCCAGAAAATTCGACTTTATTGGTATATTCCTATGGTATTCTGTTGAAACAATTCAATTTCGAATACTTAAGAAGACCAGAAATTATGCAGGTTGTTCCTTCACGTGTCCCAGCGAATGTAAGATCGCAAATAACAATAATTGGATCTTCATTTACACGAGATATTTCTCACTGCTTCTACATTTCCAATCAGTTCATACGAACCGAACTTATTTCGCATTCTTCCATCATTTGCAGTGTACCAACATTCAATGAGACAATGACAATTAGCCTTGGAATAATGTACAAGAAATATGTTTTACCTCAGACTGTCGACCTTCAAGTAGTTGAAATGGCAACTCTAGAGAGAGTTAGACCTTCAGTAATTCAGTCATACGTAAGAACTACTATCACGTTGTATGGTTCTGGTTTTGACAGAAATGAAAATTGTATCTGTAAGTTCTCCAATTCTGAACAATCAGCTGCCATGGTCATATCTAGTTCAATTATAGAATGTTTGATTTATTCTGAATTAGAAGGGAAACGTTCAGTTGAATTGTTTTTGGAAGGCTCATTTGTTTCCACAATGATAGAAGTAATCAATTCCAAAAACCTTATATTGAGTATTTATCCATCTTCAGGTCCAATCCAAGGCAACACATTTATACCAATCAATGTCAGTTGCAACAGTCATTTTAGGTGCTTGTTTGATGGAATCGGAAGTGCTTCGGCTCGAGATCAAAACGGTACCTGCGGATGTCTTTCTCCAAATGCAAAATTGCCAGGAATACATGAATTCCTTGTATTAAATTCAAGTGCTATTGTGAGCAAACGACTCAAGTACCAATTTTATTCTACTCCAATCATTCGAAGCATAATTCCCAGTTCAGTGAGTACATTCGCAGGTGTTTACATAGATATTATTGGGTCAGAATTTATCCCAGATCATTTTGCGATATTCACTCACAAACCAATTCTGGCTCCCTGCATCTCTTCAACGCATGCAAGGGTTCTGATGCCCTCATATTCTGAGTCGATATTTCATGTACTTGTCAGTAACAACAGGGGAATTTCACTTTCACCCTCAGATGTCATATTCGCATACACTAGACCCATAAGCATTATTGATTTTTCGCCAAAAATCACAACTGTTGGAAGAATTGTCGACATTTTGATACTTGGTGAAAATATAATCAACGTAGATGGGCTATCCTGCCGCTTTGGCTTCAATCAGACAAGCAGAGCACACTTTCTTAGTTCTTCGAGGGTTTCCTGTTTGTTTAAAAGTAAGGTTCCTGGTTCCTTTTCCTTGGCGATTAGCAATAATGGATACGAATTCGCCACTTCACAAAGCTTGGTATTGGTACAAGATTTTGGCCAGGTCATTGAGTTGTATCCAACCAGCGGACCCCATTCTGAGGCAACCAGAATACATGTGAAGTTGGCAACTTACACAAATCTTGATACAACGCAATTGCGATGTTCGTTCGATGGAGTTCGAACTGCTGTTTTGCATGGTGTGAATGATTCCGTAACATGTTTGACACCACCACGGGCTCGTCTGGGAATTTCTTCTTTTTATCTACTGAATGCGGATGTAGTAATGATACAATCCACTGTTTATTTCTATGAAAATCCAATTGTTACCTCAGTGTTTCCATCCAAAATATCCTCGTCGGAGGAAACTCTAATTACGGTCTATGGACGTGAATTCATTCCATTTGTCACTAGAATGAAAATTGGAGATCAGCAGGTAAAATCAAATAACTTAAAGTATATTTCATCCTCAAGTATTCTATGCTTTGTTTTGCAAAACGAACCTACAGCCCTTCAAATATTTCTTTCAAACAACGATTTTGTGAACACAGTGCACACTCATACATATCTTGAATTCGAGAAAGCGCCGACCGTTCTACGAATCCATCCCACAAGAACAAGGTTAGAATCAAAACAACAAATGCTGACAGTAATAGGAATGCATTTTGAGCGGGGCGTGGGTCTGAGCTGTCGCTTCGGACGTGAGATATCGACCTCCACCTTGTATTTGTCCTCAACAGCTCTACGGTGCATCATGCCGTCTTTGAAAGCTGGCACGACTTCAGTAACATTGCAAACTGGCACAGATGGAGGGACAAGAACAGAAGTCGGGCTTCCTTTGGTTGTGGAGGGCATCTCTATTCTCGCCATCCGTCCTTCTGCCGGCCCGATCCAGGGCGGAGCATCAGTCACGCTTGTAGGGAACAATCTTCCCTCTCGTCTGCAAAGCATCTCCTTCGGTCCTTTCTCTGCAAAGCTGAGCAGCGTGTCGAGTACACTAGCAGTCTGCCTATCGCCATCTGCAACGCACAGCGGCCCGCAGCCAATATACCTTGACGCAGAAGCTGTCCACGGACAAATCGAGGGTATGAAACTTGCTTACGAGTACTACGATCTACCCTCTATGTCGGAGCTGGTGCCGTCCGAGGGGCCGCCGGGAGGAGGAGCCGCGGTGACAGTGACGGGCGGCGGTTTCAGTACGGTTCCTGCCCTTGGTTGTGTTTTCGGTGATCTTGAGGCGCTGGATACAATCAAGCCCGCAAGCGTGCTAACATCATCGCTGCTTCTTTGCATAGCGCCGAGTGCCCCAAGCACAAGTGGTCAGACGACCTATGTCGAGTTGATGGACACGCGTTTGCGACTGACCCTGACCAGGAGCGGGCTTGTCTTTGCGTTTGTGAGGCTTGCAGCCATCGAGAAGATTCTCCCGTCAGGGACATCCGGAGGGGGGCTTGCAAGGGCTGGAAGCACTTTGACGATCCTCGGACGGGACTTCACCACGTTAGGGTTATACTGCAAGCTTGGATCGCATAGAATGACTATGAGCGCTTATGTCTCGTCCTCGGTACTTTTATGTCCGCTGCCCAAGACTGTGACAGGACGGCTAAGCCTTGTGCTGAGCAAAGAAGGACTGGACTTCTCGAACACGGCGTGGGTGAGCATCAGGGAGCATTGTCGAGCAGAAAGCTTGTTACCCAGCGCAGGCTCTGTGGCAGGAGGTACACGAGTAGTCGTGAAGACAAGTCCAACCTCGCTAAAGAATGTAGCTCTCAGCGGAGTTAGGTGCACGTTTGGAGATACCGCAGTGCCAGCGGTCGCAGTGAATGAGTCTTCCTCTGAAGTGACATGCGTTGCCCCTTCAAGGTGGGGCTCTGATCCCAACCGCGTACGGTTTATTCTTGCAACACGGGAGACGGGCGTGGAGGGATGTGATGGAGCGCTACTCTTTGAGTACCAGGAGGTTGTACGCATACAGGATGTGATACCGTCAAGGGGATCAGTCCGCGGAGGAAGCTTTGTTGACGTGGTAGGCAGTGGGTTTATTTCCTCCAAGACCTCTTGCAAGTTTGGAGATACTATGGTGCATGCGTGGGATGAGGCAACTGCATCCTCTTCTACATCGGTTCGATGTCGCGTGCCTCCTGCTATCGGTGTCGGGGAGGTGTCCGTGAGAGTCAGCGTCAACGGAGGAACGGACTACACTGATACCTCGCTTACATATCTGTACGAGCTGAGTGCAACGGTTCAAGCTCTGAGGCCATCCAGAGCATTGAGCGGCGTAGCTGGCCAGATGACCACGGTCATTGGCTATCACTTCCACGTAGACGCAGAGATTCGATGCAGGTTTGGACCCTTAGATGTTGTCAATGGGAAATACCTGTCTTCATCTCTTGCCCTATGTATCATCCCGATGAGGGCCCAAGGCACTGTATCTCTGGTCATTGAAACTCCAAGAGGGGTAGAGGCAAGAGGCACGGCGCTATTGGAGCTTCAAAGCTGTCCTGTCAACTTGATGCTTCGACCCTCCAGCGGGCCTGTCAGAGGCGGTACAATGATAATGTTAAACCAGGCGTACGACCCTCATTGGCCTATGCTGAATGCTACATGTGTAATAGACGGCGTGTCATCCAAAGCCGAAACTGTCGGGGGCTCGAGATTCTGCATTTCACCACCTGCAAGCGCTGTAGGCCTGTCGTCTTTGCGAATGTTGGGAGGCGACTCTGTTGATTTCGTGACCTTGTCTTCTGCCTTTCTATTCTACAGTGACCCGGCTGTCTCCGATATCCTCCCCTCTCGCGGTACGATACGCGGCGGTACCCTCGTGACCCTCCTGGGCACGGGCTTCCTGCAAGTCGGACTTGCGTGCCGCTTCGGCAGCGAGCCCGCCGGCACGGGCCCCGATGCACGCTGGCTCTCGTCGACCATGGCCGTGTGCCTATCGCCGCGGGCTACAAGCCCCGGAAGAGCCGCGCTTGCCGTGAGCCTGAACGCGGGAGCTGACTTCTCGAGGAGCAGCCTCGAGTACATATACGAGCGAGACGCTACGGTAGACAGGGTCTTGCCGTCGCGAGGAGTCGGGGGGGTAGCGGGGCAGGTGATAACGGTACTGGGACGTCACTTCGAGCGGGGCGAGGGTCTGAGCTGTCGCTTCGGACGCGGGAGGGTAGAGCGAGCAGAGTACATGACCTCGAGTACTGTACTGTGCTTAGCAGGTGACTTGGACATAGCAAGCGAGGTCGTCAACATCCAAGTCAGCAACAATGGTGTTGACGCTTGGAGTGAAGGTCTTTGGTACCAGGACCGGGCCTCATCTGTCTTGCAGATCAAGCCTTCGATAGGACCTGCTGCAGGTGGCAACACTGTGACGATTGTGGGATTGCATGTCGACACTAGCCGGCCTGATCTTGTACAATGTGTGTTCGATACCGTACAGATAATTGCAGAGACACGTGGGTCATACACAGCGTGCGTCACTCCTGCCCACGCAGGCTTCGGGACGATAAATCTGACTATCTTGAGGCAAAGCCTCGTGCTTGCACGGGCATCGTACACATATGTGCATGAGCCACGAGTGCTCCGCATGGTTCCGAGTACAGGCAGTGTAGGCAGTATCACGCAAGTTTCTATCTTTGGGATGTACTTGTCTTTGCCTGGGCTACGATGTCGCTTTGGGGAGGCATATACCCCTGTAAACCAGACCTTGCAGCTCACGTCCACCCTCATGCAATGCTACACTCCTGCTGTACGGGATCCAGGATCGGTCAAGGTGTTGCTAGGCCTTGAAGGGGACTGGCACTCGAGCGAGGAGCAACGATTCTGGTACTTGCCTTTACCTTCAGTGCGTAGGCTATCACCTTCCTTGGCTTTCCCCAGTCCACAGGGCCTAGTTGTGACGGTCTTGGGAGAGCACTTTGAGAGCGGTGAGGCCCTGACCTGTCGATTTGGGGATCATCAGTCTATTTCTACGACTCTGATCTCCTCAACCAAGCTTATGTGCACTTTGCACGAACACAAGGACACCTCCTCACTCCTTCTCACGGTCAGCAATGATGGCTCAACCTACTCGCTTCAAGGACTTCCCTTGCATATCCAGCAACCGTCGATATTGGTGGCTTGTTCACCGTCTATTGGACCATCCTCCGGGGGAACCGTAGTGACCATGGAGGTTACCCCGGAGCTGATGCCCCCCGCCGTAGGCGTTGGTTGTATGTTTGGAGAGACGATTGCTTCTCAAGCCCAGGTATTCGGGTCTGTCATCCGCTGCATATCGCCCAAAGTGCTGGTCCCAGGTCTTGTGAATATAAGTTTGATAGACCAAGATACGGAGCTGGAACTTGTTGCTGGAGCTGTGCCGTACCTCTACTTCGCATCACCCTATGTGCGATCTATCTCACCGTGCATTGGGAGCAGGTCCGGGGGGACGCTGGTGCATATAGCAGGTACTGGCTTTCTTCTCAAGGGGGTGTCTTGTCGCTTCGGCAACGCGACAGTCGACGGAGATCGTGCGAGGGCCATAACTTCTACTCTTGTCGAGTGCGTGTCGCCAGCTGCTGGTGAGATCGGCATGTCAATGGTCGAAGTGAGCTTCAATGGAGTTGATTACACCACGGACGAGATATCATTCATGTACAAGGAAGACTTAACCATACACAAGATAATGCCTACCCAAGGAAGAGCTGGGCAGTCAGGTCAAAGTTTGAGCTTGTTTGGCAGCTTTTTAGATGATGGACTTCGTCTTGTTTTAGGAAAAACAGAGCTTTTGAACTGTAGGATTCTTTCAGGAAGTATGGCAATGGTGACATTGCCGAATCTCACTCCTTCAACGTATGCTCTTCAAGTGTTCTCTAGAAGTGATCTTGTCAGTGAAATCAAGTATGAGATTTTAGAACAAACTCTTGTGATTTCAAGGGTTAAACCATCTATAGTCCATTTTACTGCAAGAACCTTGGTTACAATACAGGGAAACTCATTCGATTCTGCACAGATTTCGCTTTGTGAAGTTGATGGCAGAAGCTATGTCCTTGAAAACGTCTCAGTGTCTAGTCAAGGGATACAATTTAGGATGCCTATCATACCATTGGGACGCAAAGTGGTACGTCTCTTTTCGGATGGTTATGGCCTTCCATTGATCAACTTTACGATTTTGGTTTCACCTGATCCAAGGATTTATGAGATTCGGCCAAGTGTATTTCCAACAAGTGGGGGTACGTTGGCACATGTGTTTGGATCAGATATGCTCAATTATTCAATCTTGAGTTTTGGGAAAACATTATGGCCACCCACAAGTTTTGTTTCGAGCACATTACTTCGGACCATTGTGCCTCCCTCAAACTCAGGGATGTATGAAGTTTGGATATCACAAGCCGGCGGTTTACAGATTGATCAAAGTGTCAAGGTCTTGTATGCTACGAATCCATCCATTATGCGTGTTTTGCCTTCTATATGTACTAACGAAGGCAGAGTACAAGTAACGATTATAGGGAAGTCCTTTACGAAAGGTTTAGATTGGTTCTGTCGCTTTGGACTGAAAAACGTTGTTCCAGGACAATTCCTCTCCTCCAGTCTGCTGATGTGCGATGCTGCATCACATGAGTCTGGGCGGGTAATGGTTGCCGTCTCGTTCAACAGGGTGGACTTCACCGAAGGGACTGTGGCCATTGAATACTACAAAACCTTGAGTTTACATTCTCTGGTACCTTCATTTGGTCCCAGGACTAGGAGCTCTTTGATTTCAGTGTTTGGTAGTGGCTTCCAAGCAGAGAGTGCCTTGTCATGTAGATTTGGCCATCAAAGCTCGCTGGCAACAGTGATCCACGAGAGGCTTTTGATCTGCAGAACCCCATCACAGAATCCAGGCTCGGTCAATTTCGCAGTGGTTAACTTGCTAGGATTCAACCTTGGTGGCACTTCATTGGAATTTGAATACACGGAATTGTGTCCAATTCTACAAGTTTCTCCTTCATCGGCAGCTATAGTGGGTGGAACCGAAATCAAAGTGATATTGGGCTGTCAGTATCCGCAATCAGCTCTATGCCGTTTTGGCAACCTCACTGCTCCGGCATACTTTTTGACCGGTAGCTCCCTCCTCTGCGTAACGCCGCAAGCAACGCCTTCCACTGTGAATCTGGATGTTGTGTCCGAAGATACCTCGAGCGTATCGATCGCTACACTTTTCCGGTTTGAGCACGGAGCACGTGTGTATAATGTGGTTCCGACCTCCATGATGCATTCATCACCTCAATCTCAGGTCACTGTGTTGGGTGAGCACTTCGCGTTTTCTTCGACACTGGGTTGCAGATTAGGTGGAAGGACGCTGCTGCAGGCATATTGGGTGTCTTCATCATTTTTGACTTGTCCGCTCGTGTCTTTCGAACCCGGCAATGTTACCATCGAAGTAACAAATAATGGTCATGACTACAGCCAGGAGTATTCATACGTTTGTATCTCACCGGATGAGAAACTGGGTATAACGCTCTATCCAACTTATGGGCCCACAATGGGTGGGACTGAGATAACTCTTGTTGGAGTCAATGTCAGTGCAGTCAGGTTCGGCGACGTTTTATCTCCATGTAGACGACATAGGTCTTCTACTTTGTGCATAGTACCTGCTCATGAGGTTGGTTTGATACAGATACAGGCACAGACAGCTCCTCAGCAGGAAAGTTTCCCAAATGCTGGATTTTCGTATATAGATTCCCCGTCTTTGTCATTGGTGTTTCCTTCGGTGGTACCGCAACAAGAGAGATACCTCATCAAGGTGATGGGATCAGGCCTTGCTAATGAACTCTCCTATTTCTGTCGCTTTGAAAGTGACATTCAAGCACCCACACGAACTCCGGCTACGATTGCATCAAGTGACGTCGCGACATGCTTCACTCCATCGCTCGTTGCTGGAGCATACTCCATGAGGCTCACATGCAGTGAGGGCGTACTGATTTCAAAAACATTCTTGAATGTTTTATCTACTCCTCTTCCGGTGGTGACGAAGTTACTTCCGTCTTTGCATTTCTCCAATTCAATATCCATGGTCACAGTGTTGGGAAAGCACTTTTTGAAGACCGATGGACTAACGTGTAAAGTGCAGAAATCAGTGATACGCGCAGTATGGATTGACAATGAAACCTTGATCTGTCAGCTTCCTCAACTCAATTTCGTTGGTAATGCCACCTTGGAAGTGAGTAACAATGGAGTAGATTTTCCTATGAATTCAAATATTCTTTCTGTCGTCTCGAGAACCGTGCTCGTGGCGGTAGAGCCATCGACGGTTTGGGGGTTACAGGGTGCCACATTGACCTTGACGGGAAACCATATTATCACAGAAAGCGATGTTTTGTGCAAATTCAATGTACGCAAGGTCTCAGTCGCACTTCCAATCTCGAGCACTCAAGTCATTTGCAAAATGCCAGCTTCACTCCCGGGTCTTGTGTCGGTCATGTTATTTTCTCCAGCAACAAAGGCTAATTCAAACTCAGTGTCTGTACAGATAACTTCAGGCATTTCTATTGAGGATTTGCCTCCTGCTGAGCCATCTTCAGGTCCGCCTGCCGGTGGGACTCAGGTGTACATCAAAGGAGAATTTCTCATCGACGGTACATTCGCATGCAGCTTTGGAAACACTAGAGTTACAGCAGCACTGGCCTCGAGCAGCCTTTTGAAGTGCGTGAGTCCGGCAGGGAAGAGCGGATGTGTGCAAGTGTCCATCTTGGAACATGTCTCTGGAAGCGTGATGCCGCTGGCAAAGACTTTCTGCTATGAAAATGTAGCATACATTGAGTCTATTGTTCCAGATAGAGCTCATTGGAGGGAAAGGGTGGTCCTTGAAGTCTTGGGTGGAGTACTGCTTGACACAGTGAATCTATGTGGAAGAATTGGAGACACCGTAATGCCTTGCAGGTGGATATCATCCAGAAAGGCTAAATGTCTGGTGACGTTCCCTGCACCTGGGAGTTACTCGTTTGAGATTAGTAACAACTGTCAAGATTTTAGCGGCCGAGGTGCTGAATTTGTTGCTGAGGACCTGACGAGAATTGTTGGTATCAAGCCGACGGCTGGTTTCAGCACGGGTGGCAGCACGATCCTGGTGTCACTGAAGCCAAAGCCAACAGACTTGGTCCAGGACTGGTCGAAGATGCGATTGATGTGTCAGTTCAATGAGCAACTGAGTGCTGCCGAGTTAGTGCAAGGGGGCACAGCTGCCGAACATGTGCGTTGCCTCCAGCCAACTTGCGTGCCTACGGAGTCATCAGACTTCAGATTGCTGTATCAGGGCTCAGCTTTCTCGGACACAATTTCCTTCGCATGTAGAGACCCTTCTGTTGCACATTCAATTACACCGTCATTTGGCCCTGTAGGTGGTGGAACGCGGATCTTAGTGAGCGGGGTTGGCTTTACTAACGCTTCCTCATGTTACTTCGGAGTTTTCAAGACTAGCGGATACATGGTGAGTTCAAAGCTATTCGTTTGTATCGCTCCGACTGCCTTGGGTCGCACCCAATCGCTCATCACAACAATGGGAGTAACAGAGGTCGATGACTTGTTCAATAGTGCAAAAAGTTCAGTGTTGTTCCAGTATGAAAAACCTATCGTTGTGTCACGCATTGTACCAAATGTATTGATGTCCTCCAGTACAAAACAGATCAATGTGTATGGATCAGGATTTCGCCCAGGTGCGATTGCAAATTGCAAGTTTGGTGTTCAGGTAGTACAGAGCATTGCGGTTATTTCCAGCACAAGATTGCTTTGCTCTACACCTTACTTGGTGAACCATCAGAACATCAGTGTCGAGATCAGCAACAATGGAATCGACTTTTCGAATAGTGGTCTTCGCATTTCGTTTACCGAATCCAAGGCTGTGATTTTGAACGTGTATCCAAGCACTATCGCAAATGGTGTTTCCGAAGTAATTACTATCACGGGGTCACGATCGTTTTCTGATGACAACATCGAATGCCGTTTTGGGAACGAATCATCGCTTGCCCGGCAGATTGAGCCTACCAAGATCTTGTGTTATACTCCGAGATTTGGGCAAGCAGGTACAATCAGTGTTGAGGTTGTAACCGTGCACAGAGGGTTATATGATGCTGTTGGGATGATTGCGATCGTGGTAAAAAGCGCATTTCATATATCAGCTGTGATTCCGACGAGCGGGCCCACATCTGGTGGCACCTTAGTTTCAATCATCGGAACTAACATGCCATCAGGCGGCTTTGAATGTAAATTGCGGGCACGCGGGCACCTGATTGAGCAAATGGGAATCACTATTTCCAGTACTGTCGTCTTGTGCAATACTCCTCCTGTGGAGAAACCTTCTACCTATCAATTGGACTTTGGGGAAGCAAGACAGGTACAGCCGGTGCAGTTCTTCTACCAATATTACTTGCAGCCGCGGGTTTTCCATGTCACCCCAACAGAGGGAGCAGCGGAAGGTGGTACCATGGTCACTCTAATTGGAGAGAATTTCATTCCGTTGCAAGAGGTGTCATTCGCCTTTGGGGAAAGTATGAGCTCATCAGAAGTCGTCTCGTCGACATTCGTATTGTGTACTGCTCCAACTCATGAGCCAGCAAACGTCAGTATCAGCCTTTCAGTCAACTTCCATGATTACACATCTAGCGGAGCTTCATTTCACTATCTCGCTCCAGTCGACGTTCTCGCTCTTTTTCCAAGTGTAGGACCAACGACTGGCGGAACGCACGTTACAATCAGAGGTACAAAATTTCTGAGTTCCCAGGAGATTGTTTTGATGTTTGGATCTTTACCTGTGCGAGGCGACATCCGAGCTGAGACTGGAGAAGCAAGTTTTGCCGTTCCCACATCTTCTGCGCGAACCGGGACTGGCTTGATATATGTGACCCTTACTTCTGACCTAGCCATGCATACAAGACAATTCACCTTTCAATATATCCCTGCATTCCATGTTGATGGTGCATTGCCTTCCGTAACAAGTCTAGGGTTGGGACGTGTGATTACTGTAACCGGGCATGGATTCCATCAAGCTAACAAGTGCTTATTTCCTGCCGAGCCCTTGCCAGCTCAAACTGTCCTCGTGTCCTCGACCATGCTTCTCTGCTATTTTGATGGTCTGACGACAGGCAATCATGAATTATCGATTGCATTACATCACAGTATTCGATCGTATAAGAGAGATTTTGCCGTGAAGATAGTCTCGTTCCCATCTTTGACACAATTGGTTCCATCAGCTGTACCTGCGTATTCGACATCATTATTGACGATGATTGGATCCAACTTCCATTCTTCCGACCTACTGAGTTGTCAGGCAGGACTGCATCTACGACAGAGAGCTGAGTATGTCACATCGAGCAAGGCTATATGTGAAGTGCCTAGCATTCAACCTAGCAATACCAGTATGACAATATCGAATGATGGAGGAACGACGATGTCGCAGGCCATGCCAGTAATGATGCATGCTCCAGTATTCATCCGCGCTGTACATCCAAGTACAATCTTATCGTCAGCAAGAGCAAAAATAACACTGTACGGGAGCGCATTCGATTCTGCACAGATTTCGCTTTGTGAAGTTGATGGCAGAAGCTATGTCCTTGAAAACGTCTCAGTGTCTAGTCAAGGGATACAATTTATTTGTCAGGAAGATTGTTGATCAATATTCGTACCAGTGCAAAACAGTATCTTGCCAACTTTGCAGTATTATTTGAACAGTCTCCTATGATATTTTCGCATGTTCCTTCTTCAGGACCCATTGACGGAGGGACTGTTGTAAATGTGCATGGGAAGGGCTTTTCAGTATTTTCCATGTATTTGTGTAGTTTTAAATGGGCTAATGATGTCGTACAAACAGAAAAGGTTACAGTTATTTCTAACAGTCATCTTTCGTGTAAAACCCCAGCGAGCTTCTATGCTGAAAAAGTAGAATTTGGACTTAATTTGACATGGAGTGGAGCAATGAACCGAACAATTCATTTCTTCCAGTATTATTATAGACCTTCGTTAATTAAGCTCAAAGAACATTTTGAATCTCAAAACGTTTTGCATATTTCGTTTGTTGGATCTGGTATTCTTGAATCGTTTGTATGTAAAGTTGGAAATCGTGTTGGGCAAGCATCGTACATATCATCTACACTGGGATCTTGCCTTGTTCGTCAGAAGATGCCAGGAAACTTGTCCTTTGAGATAAGCAATAATGGATACGATTTCACTGACAGTGGTCTCCGACTTGCGATCTGGTCTCAAGAATCTTTCTATATCTATCCAAGTACTGGAAGTTCATCAGGAGGAAACTTTGTTACTGTACATGGATTTCAGTTTGTGAAGCAAATTGGCTTCAACGGGTCATTAGAAAGAACAGAGAGGCTCAAGAATGGAACGATTATTGTAAAAGTTCCAAAATCTGACTCATTTGGTATTGTGTCTGTAAACGCTTTTGACTCTGACTTTTCTCAAGCAAATGCAACAACTTTCTATGAATACTGTGATCGAATTCTGATAACACAAGTAAGACCGTCCTTAATACCTTCAACAGGAGGAACTAAGATACAAGTTCTGTTGGAACCCAGCACGGCAAAAAAACAAGTATACGTTATGATAGGTGAAACAGCTTTTGAGACTACTATTGAAAATACTACAATAAACATCAAGAGAGTGAGATTAGAGCCAGGACTGAGTCATATCAGCGTTGCATTCAGAGAAACATGCCTCAATCTACAAAGTCACAAACCAATCATGGTCTACGAAATGCCAAGATTGATTCAATTAGTCCCAAATACAGTGCAAATCACAAGAAAACAAACCATTACTTGCATTGGGCTTGATTTTTTTCATTCGAACAGTCTTACATGTAAGATAGGAGATACCATCGGTACATCCAATTGGATATCAAGCAGTCTGTTTACCTGCGTGGCCCCGGCTAATAAGCCCGGAAATGTCTCGTTTGAGGTCAGCAACAACGGCCAGGACTACACCAGCTCCGGTCTTCGCTTCCAGGTCCTAGCGAGACGAGAGTGGCAGCTGTCACCTACCCGTGGCCCGACCGCTGGCGGCATCGAAGTTACGGTCATCGGCTTTAGCCTCACAGATCAGTCCAGCATCACAATACGACTTGCGGGAACAACCGTTCGCGTTTTATCCCGCGGTGGGAACAACCTTACCTTCACCTTGCCGGAGGCGTCGGACCTAAACCCTGGCAAGGTAGAGGTGTACATGGTTGATTCCCGTGTGAGGGTCGACCAAGGCGACTTCCGCGTCTTCGAATATGTAGAGGGGCCTCGTATTCTGTCTCTACAGCCTTCATCTGGGACGGTTGAGGGTCACACTCGTGTGACTGTCATTGGAAGCTACGATCTTCGAGGACAAGCATACTGTCGCTTTCATATGCAAAGCCTTTCGGGCCAGGATGAGACAGTAACCTCGTCTGCGGTAGAGCGCTTGACAAGCTCTACAATCGTTTGTGCGACTCCTCCGTCAGTATCGCCGGGTAGTTTCTTCTTACAGGTGAGCGATGATCATGGGTCTTCATACTCGAGCAATCGCGCTGCTTTCCTATTCCATCCAAGAGTAGAGCTGCAGGGAGTGCGGCCGAGTCGCGGATACACGAGCGGTAGCTCGCTTGTTACCTGTATAGGGTCTGGCTTCTTGGACAGTGCTGACTTGCAATGTCGTTTCGGTTCAGTCAAACAGTCCAGACTCGGATGGTTATCGAGCAGTCTGTTTACCTGCGTGGCCCCGGCTAATAAGCCCGGAAATGTCTCGTTTGAGGTCAGCAACAACGGCCAGGACTACACCAGCTCCGGTCTTCGCTTCCAGGTCCTAGCGAGACGAGAGTGGCAGCTGTCACCTACCCGTGGCCCGACCGCTGGCGGCATCGAAGTTACGGTCATCGGCTTTAGCCGCACAGATCAGTCCAGCATCACAATACGACTTGCGGGAACAACCGTTCGCGTTTTATCCCGCGGTGGGAACAACCTTACCTTCACCTTGCCGGAGGCGTCGGACCTAAACCCTGGCAAGGTAGAGGTGTACATGGTTGATTCCCGTGTGAGGGTCGACCAAGGCGACTTCCGCGTCTTCGAATATGTAGAGGGGCCTCGTATTCTGTCTCTACAGCCTTCATCTGGGACGGTTGAGGGTCACACTCGTGTGACTGTCGTTGGAAGCTACGATCTTCGAGGACAAGCATACTGTCGCTTTCATATGCAAAGCCTTTCGGGCCAGGATGAGACAGTAACCTCGTCTGCGGTAGAGCGCTTGACAAGCTCTACAATCGTTTGTGCGACTCCTCCGTCAGTATCGCCGGGTAGTTTCTTCTTACAGGTGAGCGATGATCATGGGTCTTCATACTCGAGCAATCGCGCTGCTTTCCTATTCCATCCAAGAGTAGAGCTGCAGGGAGTGCGGCCGAGTCGCGGATACACGAGCGGTAGCTCGCTTGTTACCTGTATAGGGTCTGGCTTCTTGGACAGTGCTGACTTGCAATGTCGTTTCGGTTCAGTCAAACAGTCCAGACTCGGATGGTTATCGAGCAGTCTGTTTACCTGCGTGGCCCCGGCTAATAAGCCCGGAAATGTCTCGTTTGAGGTCAGCAACAACGGCCAGGACTACACCAGCTCCGGTCTTCGCTTCCAGGTCCTAGCGAGACGAGAGTGGCAGCTGTCACCTACCCGTGGCCCGACCGCTGGTGGAACCATTCTCACTGTTGTTGGAGTTGAAGGCCAAGTGGCATTTCGTTTGGATGTCGGCACAGTTTTCGCGTTTTATCCCGCGGTGGGAACAACCTTACCTTCACCTTGCCGGAGGCGTCGGACCTAAACCCTGGCAAGGTAGAGGTGTAGCTTGTTTTCGAATTCAGACTTGGGATTTGAAGAAAAAGTTTTTCTGTATGAGGTTGGCGGCTACATTACAAGTGTATTCCCTTCACGTGCAAGCGTGAGCGAAACAATTTCGATAACCATTGTGGGCAATGGGTTGTCAAATACACCAACATTTCAATTTGATTCTGACAAACTCTTGCTTGTCGTTCTGAATATTACTGATGTCGCAATCACAGCATTAGCTACCTGTAGTGCCGCCGGAATAGTTTCTCTTCAAATGTGGAAAACCACAGAATGGGTTGCAACTGGTGTATTTTTTGAGTGTATACAAATTCCAATTGCCTACAACCTATCACCTTCAAAAGGACCCATCTTTGGAGAAATAGCTGTTGTGGTCACAGGAAAATACTTTCTTCAAGGGGAAACTGTTTGCAAATTTGGAAAACAGGTTGTTGAATCCAAACTCATTTCTTCTGAGCAGATAAGTTGCATTATTCAACCCTCAACGTTTCAAAAGAATATTTCTGTCGCTGTTTCCAACGACCGTAAAACCTTTTCGCAGAGTGATTTGAAGTTCCAATATGTCATGCCGTCTCTATCAAGCATTAGTCCCAGCGTTGGATTCATCAATGGCGGTACTGTGGTCACTGTAAATCCGCAACACTTCACTTCTTTGAACCTGGAGTGCATGTTTGCAAATATCAAAGTGATAGGTTCGAACATTGGAAGTGGCCTGTGGACTTGCATGGCACCACCTTTCACTGAAGGAATAGTTATGTTTGAAGTCACGGGAATGCAAAGCGACCTTAGATTTGTGTACGTACAACAACCAATCGTGATTACCCTTCAGCCATCCATAGGATTCGTGAATTCTACCTCGAATAATTTCCTCATAATTGGAAAAGGATTTGACAGAAATCACTTCGATGTGTATGCAGACTCATACAAAATTAATCAGAGTGTATGGGTTTCATCAAGTATCATTCAGGCATTTGCTCCGCTATACCCTTTTCCGAAGACGGTGACAATTCAGGTTTTGAATGGTCCGTTGATAAGCTCGTATTCACAAGTCAAGTATATGCTCCTGGAACCAATCAAGGTCTCTGAAATTGTACCATCTTCGATCTTGGAAGGAACAGATGGATGTATTACAGTCAACGGGCAAAACTTTGACACAGAACTCCTATACCAACTGATACTTCGCAACCTCAACTCGTTCGAAGCTATTAAAATTCAGAAGGATTATTTGATTTTCCGAGTAAATGAGTCCTTCAGGGGAAATGTGACTGCCTTCATTCAGTATGGAGGAATGCATTCTGAAGAATTCACCATTTCCTTCCTTCCCAGCATGGTTGTGGATACAGTAAGACCTTTATTTTCAGTTGCCAAGGGGGGTCAATTGATCACAATCCTTGGCAGGAATTTTTCGAGTATGTGGGAATCTTACTGTAGCTTTGGCTCTGAGATAATACCCATCAATTATATCTCGCAGACAGCTTTGTCATGTCTATCTCCTCCACTGAAATCCTCTTTTGGCATCAAAAAGCTGTATCTGGAGATTTACATTCATGCAAATCTGCAAGGGTCCTATGAATTTGAATATCTGGACACTCCTCAAATATATTATGTAAGCCCATCAATCGGATACAGTGCCGGAGGATCCTTGGTCACGATCATTGGTGAAAGCTTCTGGAATACTGAGCCAATCTCGAATATATCTTTTGCAGGGGTCCGAGCGACCAATCTTCAAGTTCTCAGTCCATCGTTAATCCTGTGTTACACTCCTCCAGCTAATGTGCTAGGTGATGTACAAGTTTCGATCGTGAATGGTTATAATCCTGAGGAAAGATATACCTCTTCATCATTCTACTACATGGCAGATATTGTTCTGACAGAATCTTCGCCATCAAAGGTGCCTGCGAGATCTCATTCAATCATTACCCTTACAGGAAATTGGCAAATCGGCATTCAACCATCCAGTTGTAAATTTGGGTCTTACCTTAGTACAATGGTAACGCTCCTTTCTACGTCATCAATCTTATGTTCCACTCCAATGTTTGAAAGAGGGAATTCTACAATACAAGTCGGTTTCAACGGAGGAAACTTATGGTCAAACCGTTTGGTTTTGCAATTCGAAGAAATACGGAAGATACAATCAATGACACCCACGAGAGGTTCTGTATATGGAGGAACTCGTGTACTTCTACAAGTCATTGGATTAGACAATTGGAACGATACATTTTGCAACTTTGGAAACAAGTTGACAGCTTTGCAGATGTACAAACCATTTGAATATTACTGTTTGACTCCCTCGTCTATAGAGCAGGTTGTCACAGTGTTGCTGGTGAGTGCTTCGAATGAAATCTATTATGGTGACACATTTGAGTTCGTGAGAAATCCGATCGTCACAACGGTGCACCCTACATTTAGTTTCTTGCAAGGGGGGATGCTTATTACTTTGAGCGGTGTGAACTTTTTGCAAGGCTGCACCTGCATGTTTGATAAGATTGCAGTTCAATCGGATTATTTAACCTCGTCGCTGATCCAGTGCTCTACTCCTCCATTTCAGCTCGAGCAAGTATGGCTTGACGTCACGGTCAGCTACCAGGACGTTCCGATGAAAAGCTTCAGATTTACGTACACGCAAAGCCCTGTAGTTCTTGGCATGTTTCCCACATCGGGATCAGTGTTTCAATCGAATGAGGTTACGATCACTGGATTGAATTTCTCACCGTTTATGAATGTAGAGTGCCAATTTGGTGCACAAATTACGGAGGGAAAGTACCTGTCAACATCTCATGTACAGTGCATTACATTTGCCACTATTCCCTCCAACGTTTCCTTGACTTTGTTCTTCGAGGGGCACCCACGTCGAGATGCTTCGCTTTATTTTGTAAATGTGCCAACAACTCACATCCAATCCATTATGCCGTCCTTTGGTCCGATATCAGGCAGCACGCTGGTGACCATCATTGGATACTTCCAGTCTTCCAGAACTTTGTGCAAATTTGGATCAATAGTGGTAGACGGACGATTGAAATTCCAGACATTGGTGGAATGTGCGTCACCTCGAGAGCAAGAAGGATACGTATTTGTAGAGGTTTCGAACGATGGAAGCTATTGGACAACCAGCCAAACACTTTTCTTGTATCACAATCCTACGTCTATCTTCAGTATAAGTCCAACAACAGGACCCTTGTCCGGTCATACCAAGTTGACAATTATGGGAGAAAACTTCTTGTCTGAACCAGTATGGTGCAAATTTGGAAATTCCCTGATGACTGGGACTGTTGTGAACCATGATATAATCTTATGCGAAACTTCAATGTCTGCACATCCTGGAGCTGTAGATGTTGAGATCACACAAAACCAGAAAGATTTTTCGCGCAGTGAAATTCAATTTTTATACCAGGACGTATTTGTTCAATACCTATTCCCATCATTCGGTACCATAGCTGGAGGGACAAGAATTGTAATCAAGGGTCATGGTTTTCTAAGAACAGGATCCTTGTCATGCAAGTTTGATACTGCGATCGTCAAGGCTGTTTGGGTTTCAAGGGAAGAATTATGGTGCATATCTCCTCGGAGTGAGTCTGGAGAAATTACAATCGAAGTGTCAAATAATCTTCTGGACTTCTCTACCGATGGAAACAAATTCGAATATCTCAGGAATGCAATTGTTTCACGTATAAGTCCCAAACAAGGAAGTCCGATGGGAAACACCGATGTGACTGTCTTCGGTTCAAATTTTCTGAACAATAATGATATGAAATGTAGATTTGGGAAATTAATTACACCCGTAAAAACATTTTACTCTTCAACGAAGATTGTATGCACCACTTTGCCATCATTTGAGGAAAGCGTACGTCTTCAAGTATCAATAAATGGTGAAGAATACTCCAATGAAGGCGTCTCCTATGAGTTCGCCACGATTGCGAGTGCAGAAAGCATTCGTCCTTCATTTGGACCTTCCAGTGGTCAAACATTAGTTACAATTTCAGGAAGCGGCTTTCGAGAGGCTGATGAGAACTCCTGCAAGTTCGGTCAAAGATCGACCTTTGCGAAATGGATTTCTGGTTCTATCGTAATCTGTGCAAGTCCTCCAGCATCAGAAGGGCTGACTCCAGTGCAAGTTAGCAATGATGGGCTAAATTTCTTACAAGCTTCCATACAATTTCTGTATTACAGTGAACCAGAGATTTTGAGCGTTGTACCGACGTCAAGCCCAACAGGAATCAGTGGAAACGAAATTTCTGTTCAAGCGACCGGAATCCTGAACAGTCCTTTATTGTCTTGTCGATTTGGAAATCAAATAATAACAGCAATCTACCAATCTTCCTCTTTGATGAAATGCAAAACTGTTTCTTTCCCACAAGGCCTTGTTTCTTTCGAAATTTCTAACAATGGTGAAGACTTCACGAATTCAGGGAAAACTTTTTTGTATGATGCTTTGATTACCATTACTAGTATCATTCCTTCTTATGGGCTTGAATTTGGGGGAACCTCAGTGTTCTTGACAGGATCTAACTTTATCAACTCTACAGATTTGTCATGCAGATTTGGTTCAATCACAATTACAGCAGTTTTCTTAGCTCCGGATACCGTATTTTGCATCTCACCTGCACAAGCGCCGGGTGCTGTAGAATTATCTGCTTCAAACAATGGTCATATCTACAACACAGCTAGATTATTGTTTCATTACGTCCGTTGTCCAGTGGGAAGCTATTGCATTGAAAGTGAGATTATTACATGTCCTGCCGGATCTTTCTGTCCGGCAGAAGGTCTTTTCAATTTTACGCTATGTGCGCCTGGAACATTTCAAAATCTGGTTGGACAATCGAGCTGTAAACCTTGTTCAACGGGATTCATATGTCCTGATTTTGGAATGTCATTTCCACAAATTTGTCCACCAGGCTATGTGTGCGATGAGACAGGTCTGGCATCAGCAACGAAGCCATGCCCTCCCGGCTATTATTGTCTTGCAGGAACATCTACTACAAACTTTAACGATCTGTCTTCCAGCAAACGACCCCTTGCTTGTCCAGAAGGATTTTATTGCGTTCCCGGTTGCGCGACCAGCATTTCAATCTTGCTCAACTTTACGACTCCCCAACCTTGTTTTGCTGGGTATTATTGTAATCCCGGGTCTGAAACTCCACATGGACAAGGACCTTGTCCATCAGGATTCAATTGCCCTCAGTATTCGCCAGGCATGATTAAAGCATGCCCTCCCGGCACATTTTGCCCAAATGTAGGCAACGTTGATCCTATGCCTTGTCAACCAGGTTCATACAACGAGAATTATGCCCAGTCTGTTTGCAGCGCGTGCCCTATCGGAAGAATGTGCCCAACATTTGGTCTATTAGTCCCAAGAATGTGCCCTGCAGGATACGTCTGTGATGAAGCTGGAAAGGCAACTTGGTCCAAACTGTGCCCAGCAGGATACTGGTGCGTCGAGGGGACCGTTACTTCCAATGCATCGTCTGCACTTACTCCTAGACCGATGCCTTGCAGTCCTGGAACATACTGTTTGATGGGCGTTTCAACAAATAAAACTGTCCCAGGCAAACTCAGCACGCCGCAGGTCTGTGTTCAAGGCACATACTGCAAATCTGCGACAGGTTCACCGCAAGGAACGGCTCCATGTCCTCCTGGTTACTTTTGCGGTTCGGGTGTGTCGTCTCCAACTCCAGCTAATCCTGGATACTATGTTGCAAGATCTGGTTCGGTCATTCAAGTACCATGTACTCCAGGATTTTTTGCGCCTACATCGGCGACAATCCGATGTCTCGAATGTCCAGCTGGATACACCTGCGCTGCTGATGGGACTGTGTTTCCAAGTCCATGTCCAGCAGGCACATATCGCTCTGCAATTGATGGAGTAAGTTGTATTTTTTGTCCTACTGGAACATGGTCAAGTCGGGTCGGTCTGACGGACGAGTCTCTTTGTGAGCCGTGTCCACCAGGAGTCGTTTGCAGCGTTGCTGGTATGACCAATCTGAGTATGAGTTCACCCTGTCCCGAGGGGTTCGTCTGTGGTCCTCGGACGAATTCTGCTAATCAATTTCTGATTAAATGTCCAGCTGGGTACATTTGCGGGTTTGGAACAACTCCTGGCTCACAATATTCTCAATTGTGTGATCCAGGATATGGATGTCCAGAAGGAACTTCTGTCAACACAAAGAACTTGTTCAAATGCGCCAGTGGATACTACTGTCCTGCTGGAAGTACTTCGCAAGAACCCGCAGCCACTCAATGTCCACTTGGAACTACTTCAAATGCAGGAGCCCAGAGTGAATCAGACTGCTTCCGTGCAGGAAACACAAGTATCTGCCGGATTTCTCCGTATTACAGCAACGCCTCTCAAGCGCCAGAGTTTGATTGTATGTTGAAATGGACTTGTTGGAGGACTTCTCCAAATGATCCTGCCGCACAGAGTTTGTGTATCACCAAAGGAGAGATTGAAGCAAATTATGATTTCTCGGGCAACTTATTGAATCCATCTCTAAGAAATTCTCCAAGCCAATGGGAATACATCGAAGCTCTTGCTGTAGCAGAGTTTTCGCTGGATTTTCGCAATATTCCAGCAGAAATGAAATACAGAGATCACTTTGAAATAGTACTGTACTATTTCAACAAAACGCAAGGAATGAAAGTACACAAGGTCTATGGATCAAATGGAGCACCTGGAAACACTGGAGGATGTCCTTATCTGACTGAGGTTTACAATCCTGCAATTTACAATAACGAGCCTACTTGCGCTGAATTCGACGGCACATGGTTTGAAAGCACGCTTGTTGATAAACACGGAATCCTCAAATTTACAATCATGTCACACACAGAAATATATTTCCGTGTTGAAATCGAAATTTATCATGGTGCGTTCATAGCTAACAAAAATTTTACTGCATTCAAGAACACTATGACTGTTAAGAAGTATTACCCATCCCGCGCTGATTACGATCCGTCATTTGAAGACTTTTCTGTTTATACAAACTTCTCAGCTCCTCTTTCAAGGCCTACATCTACTGCAGGCTTTCAGGAATCATTATGCACGGTACAGAGAGATTCTCTAGGTTACAAAAATGCAAATTCACCAGCAAGACCTTGCAGCAGGCTGTTCCTTGCTGCCCTGGATTCTTCAAATACGAACCTTAATGTTGCTTTGAATATTGAAGCTCCCTACAAAGCAATACAGTATACGACACAAAATAATCTCTGGCATTTCCAAACCAAACCATGGGTAGATTTTGCAACCACGAATAGCTCTGTTCCTCTTTTGTGGCAACCGTTCAGTTATGTGCCTCCGAATGTCAAAGGTGTTGGACTCAAGTTTGACATCGCTTATCCATCAGACTGGTCCAATCAAGTGATGAATCCATCCTCTGGTTTAAATCCTGATGTAGGCAGCGGTGATAATGAAATGATAGTGATACCGTACCTTCCCTTCTTTTCCTCTTGTCGAGGATTTGATTCTCATATACCAATTTTCAGACTTTTTGAAACTCCAAGCATTCAGGGAATTGATGGATCTTGTAAACTGATACCAAGTGAATACACGAGGGAAGTGAATCAATATTTATTTTGGACAAGTCCTTCGGCAAGCGAGTTGACCTCTGCAACACCTCCGCAGGACTTTTGCTCATGGACAGTACAATGCAAATATGAGGAACAAATAGACAAAGCTCCACTCCCGAAGCGTTGGTATTCTCAAGACCCAGGTAGTGTGCTCTTCTATTTGACGAGAGATGCGTACAACTTTGAGGAATATAGAGATCTTGGAATGTTCAAATCTATGAAAAACACTGATCAGCTGGTAGAGGCTATCATTGGAACTCCAGCAACTACGCCAGCTGCCAGTTTGGTTGCTGTCGGTGTACCTCGATCAGTAGGTCTGACTGTACAATATTATCAGAGAACCAAGACTCAGAAGAAGATAATTGCTATCGAAGTAATGCTGGACAATTATCAGGAAGTTACCAATGCTTCAAATTCGGCAGATCGAAGTTACTCACTTCAAGTTCTCTTCCATGGACTTGACTATCAAGATTGCCTTAACAAATTTGCATTCGATGTCGCAGTGTACCTCGTCCTTTACGTATTTGTTGGGATTGGAATGGTGTTCTTTGCTGCTTTCTTTTGGTCGTTCCATCGACTTTTCACGAGATTGGGATCACCACCCAAATTTCGATTCGTGTCTTACCTAACTCTCACAGCACTACCCCCAATTCAGGGATTCGCTCTAACCATGTTCCCGCTATGGCCGATGATCGGTTTTTTGCAACTGCTATTTTATCAAACCAGTCCATTGCAAATTTTGCAAACCCAGACGAAAGATTTTGGTCCTTGGGACACTTACACTAGTAGCAGTCAAGCAGAACAGCTGCTCGTGCAGCAGGGAAGGTTTGCAGTTGGATTGTTTGTTGTGGCAAGCTATACTATGTGGCAAGCTTCTAGATTGATGGTCCCCAAGAAAGAATCTGTGGATGTTGAAGAAGCGACCACTTCCGAGAGCTCAGAATCCAAAGTGTGGCTGCCAGAATTTTGGAGAATGACTCACATAATTTTGTGTTTCTTCATTACTGCAATGGTGGGCTGTATACTTTTCGAATACTCGTTGACAACTATGTTTGCAACAAACTTTTGGATATCAAAATTTCTGCTTAAGATATTTCTTTTATTCTATGAGGGATTCTTGGAGGAGATTTTAGGAGAATCTCTGCTGGTGATGCCCCATTCTATAGCAATCGATCTGGTTGTATCAATAGCCACGATGGGTGCGGCAACTTTTCTAGATTTCATGCAGAGCTTTATTTTGGAAACCCTTTTGAATATAGCTTTGAGGATTTACATTGATCCAGGAATAGATGCTGCTTTGGAGAAGTATGAATGGGCATTGCGGGTCTACAAAAGATATCGTGCGCAGCAGGAAATTTTGCGAGATGAAGAGGGTGCGGATGACGATTTAGATATGGCCTTATGGGAAGATGAAGAAGATGAGGAAACCAAGTCCCCAGTAGAAGATATTATCAGTTCGTATGCATCCTATTCGGCAGAATCCATCGGAACACTATTTGCTCCCCTTACAATTCTGTTCGTGCAGTGGACGGAACCTAACATCGGAATGGGTGCAGCATACGGAATCAAGAGAACACAATTTGTGTACTTCTGGGTGTTCGGATTTGTGATGATACCGTTTCTGTTGGTGAAGGACCTCTTCTTACATAACGTCACAGAGCTTCATCATGGATGGAAGGTGGCTTTGTTTTTTGTGTGTGACAGAAGACTGAAACATTGCAGGTATATGATTACATGAAATATTGTAAACACAGATATTCAAAACGAATGTTCCGTTGGAAAGCGGTGGATCCAAATGAAGATGAGAGCATCAATGAAGGGATTAGATCCCTTGATCTGTTGTGTTTTTCCTCGCAGTACTATTTCGTTTTATCTCTGGCTACGATAGGCATTGGATTGCTGATCATGTCTCTTGAAGCTTTGATTCGACAGACGGATCGCATTACTTCAGCGAGTCCCTACAATCCATTCCAAGATAAGATGCTTCCATTTGTCATAGTAATTATGTTCGCTCTCTGCAAGGTGATAAATTCTTCTGTTTCGATCATTGATCTTCTGATTGTTTTCCATGCAGTGGCTACACTGGCTGAGTATATACCTCGGTCACAGGATTCTTTGGCGTCATAAACCTGTCAAAGCAGATGTAGACGAAGCAGGAATCCTTCTTGATGGAGAAAAGAATGAACTGAACCTTCCAGACTGGGGCGGCCAGCCATTTGGAACTGGTGGAGGAGGAATGGGAGGCATAGACATCACAAGCGACTCTTTCCGTCACCGCTTCTTTGAGGCTAACAAGCCTTGGATTATACAGCAACTCCGCCAGACCATGTCACCGCGTGCCCAGTTGGAAGCTCTCATGAAGGGAGAGGCTCAGCCTGAAGACACCTTTGGGGTCCGACAAGATATCAGCGACGATGAGGGAACAGAGTCCGATTCTGATCTCGAAGACAAGATTGAGCTCGATGCCGCAGCTAAGGTATGTAAAATCTCTTTCGGTGTTTTCTCTCGTGCTTATGCAGCATGAACTGACGAAAGGCTGACATTTATTGATAGTTGGTGGCTCGGAGATGGCTGTCTAAAACTCGGAGAAGACTTGGACTTCCTGATAAATCCCAGTCAGGAATTAATATTTCTTCGGACGACGAAACGACAAGCGATGATGAAGACGCAATTAGGGTTCCAAAACTATCGCCTGTCTCATCAGAGATTGCAAAGCTGTGGCTGTCGAAAGTACGTGCAAACATACGAGCGGCTGATCAAGGACGACAAGAAATTGGTCCTGCAAGACAAGACATCTCGTCCGATGATGAATCGGACAGTAACCAAGACGATAGGCCAGTGATTGCCATATCTGCACAAACAAGAATGATCGCAAGGTCATGGCTGAGCATGGTACGCCACGATGGGAACAGGAGGAATACAGCTCTAGCAGATGTCAGTGATGACGATTCAAGTGAGTCAGAGGGCTTGAATATCGCCGGCATCAACGTCGGACCGAAGGCTCGAGCCATCGCAAAGCAATGGTTGAGGGAAGTTCGAAATTCTGGACGTATTCAAGGTGGCCAAGGGGGAGGTATCAGTGATGATGACAGCTCTTCAGACTCAAGCGAAGCTTCTATGATAAATCCTCCACCTCAGCTATCTAGCAAAGCTCGAGCGATCGCCCTAGCATGGTTGAGGAGTATCAGACAATAATAGTAATTGCATTACCTCATATTTTACATAGAATTTAAGAAAATTCAAAATAAATGATATTTAGAAAAACTTGTCGTCCGTGTTTGTTGGGTCCTGACGCCTGAATCAAATAAACTCAAAGGAATTTACAGAAGGTTTAGGGATAAATACACGCGCCAATTAGAAATCATATTCCAGTTATAGCAGCCCCAATCATGTATCTTAGTCCAGGAATCATTACGATTATACGAATAACCTGTGAATTGTTTCAATTCATATGGAAAGTTTCTCAATCAAAAGAGCCTCACAATGCCATTCATTGGGACTATACAAATTGCTCTTACTCTCCTGATTCGCAGCATCTTCCATGTCCCACACAGTGTGGAGAAGCTTCTGAGTTGCCTAAATAAAAATCAATGTCATCACGTCCATTTCAGCACCATGACTGCGCATAGCTCCTGCAAACAGGGCCGCGCTTCACCTACCCTGAGCATGGCAAACATTTTTCCTCTCCTAAATGCGGACGATCCATGATTACTCAAAGTTAAGTTAAAAATCAGTACGAGCAATACCTGATTGTTTACTTAACTACTTTGCCACGGCGGCGCCGGCCGCCCGGCGCCCGCCGGGCCGCCGCGACAGACTCTGACAAACAGGCTGCTGAGAAATTGGCCGCTCAACTTGGCAAAACCGTGAAGTCAAGATTCGGGTGCGTACCGGTCTTTACTCAAACTTTTAAGTTCCGGTACTAGTTTTGGGAACAGCGGTTGGCAGGATGGGGTTTGGTTCTCGCTGTCTTTTCTCTTCTCGCCGTTCAACGTTTGGCATGCCAGTGTGCGACAGAGTCACCCGGGCCGATCTTTTCTCTAGTAGCCTCGTACTGATTTTTAACTTAACTTTGAGTAAGCAAACTGTAGAGGAGACTGGGCCTGACACTACAGGCTACTGTCCGCGGCTCACTGAGAACCATACTGATACTAAGTTTGATGATCCTTTGCCGGGCCGGGGCCCCGGTGACTTGTCCGATCAACTGCCCATGGCGAAGAGATGCAAGATGACGTGGAACGGATGACAGAAGAAGTTTACAGCGATGATTTCAGTGAAGAAGAGACCGAGAAACTCACGAGAAAGCAGGAGGTTATCGGAACGAAGTCACGGAGGCGGGCGACAATGAAGTTTGGCTCGTCACATTTTCACCTTCCAGCATCAACAAGTGTTCCATCACAGGTCATTGTCCGATTGAGCTTGCTCTGTTTCTGAGAGCTATGTAGCCTAGAATATCGAACATCGTAGAGGAGAGAATGCTTGCAAGAAGACTCATCGAGGAAGAGCGGAGACTCGCCGCAGCAAAAGCGATCATAGAGTGCAGAGCATCATCCAGAACACCGTTGGGTAATCCTCATGAATGTATTTGCATGATGAGTCAAAAGTGTAGTCAGGATGGCGATACGTGAAAGTGCACCGGAATTGCGAGAGACAATTCGAAATCATGCGAGGCAATGAGTTTATGCTTCACAAAATTCGAAACGCTCGTTCGTCAGTAGACTGCCACCAGGACGGGAACGGACTGAACTTAGAGTATTCTAGCAGACACAGAAGGAATCAACTTCAGAACGACATAAAGTCTAGGAACAAAGACATGGAAGATCGATTAGCATCCATTGCGGTTCACTTGTACTATGTAAAATTTTCCCTGACTAACTACCAAAAAGCCTGTCATCAGTAGGGACCAATTTCGGAAAAGGCAAGAACAGGCGGAAAATGTTGGACGGCTTCGTAGGTCGTTTCCCACTTTGCAACAGTACAGTGGATTACAAGCACCAAAGAGACATGATTCAACAACCTCAGCCCCTCGTCCGACAGTGAGCGAAGTCCTAAGCTTAGTCCCCTTGAGATGAGCGATGGTACAGATATCCAAAGAAGAGAAGGAGCCCATGGAGTTTTCGACTTGTCATCCATCGGGAACAGAGGAAGCGAATGCCTCGATCATCTTCACTTTCACTGAGTCAGTGTTCGCAGAATCGGTCAATCAACTCACTCTCGCAATCGATTCGTTCGTCGCTCAGAGCACGGACAAAGAGCTTTGTGCAGAATCCGCGCTTGCAGGACAACATCATTACAAGGGTACTCTATTCAGGATCGTGGGACAATTAGGACTGACAACTCTCAGGAACATCAGAGGGATCTAGAAGCTCTGATCAATCCGAATCAAGAGGAGTGCGAGGAGGCCAATCAAATCTCACAAAGTTCGTCTGCTGACAACTCAACTCCCGAACCGAAAAATTCATTAAAAAACGAGACCTCAGAAGGGGAAGGAACCACAGTGAAATTCATGTTCAAATTCAGTAAAAGATAATGTATTGGTGCGTAGACTCCACCTCATTCTCTAAATATTGCAGATTGAACATATTTGCCTTTGCGATTTACCAGCTGTCCTCAAGAAACTTGACAAACATGTCATATGCCTGCTGATTTGTCATCTTCACGTAACGGCAAGAGGTTGCCCCCATCACCTGCATTGGGCGGGTGCTTGGGACCATGTGTCCAGCTCCATGCACGGTAGTGAATCGAAGGCCGGGAAATTTGACAGTGAAACCAGCGACCTACGGAAAATGCAATCAAGCAAAGAGAGGCACTTTGAACTGTCACCTGGCCCTTAGAGCTCCATTGTTGCCATTCTTCGATGGGCTTCCCAAGGCCCCAGATCCACATCTAATCAGCCACGTTGTCAATTTGAAAAGTTTCATGTCAACCTGCGAACATATGTCCCTTTCACCTGCGCCCCGGCAGTCGAACATATCGAGTCATCATCTCCCGAATATATCATCATTTTCAAACCACCATGCTACAGATATTTTCAGATACGTCGTTGACAGTGAAGAGTTTGACCTTAATCAGTTCGTTGTATACACCCATCATCGGTGCAGCAACGTCTTTGGGATTGTACGCTTCGTTTACAACGTCACTACAAACGCTCCAAGTCACGCTTCCAGGATTCGACACATGAATGGCCTTCTGAACATCCTTTCGATTGAGGTACTGCGTCATGTAATCATCTACGCACGGTTTGTATTTGGGGAAATATCCACTCAATGTTTTCCGTTGTTTCTTGTCGGCTGAAGCTATCTTCTTGAGCAGAAGATATCTCTCCGTTCTTCCTGAAGCCAGTGAAGGGGTTTGACAGATCGGGAAGTCAAGAGCATAGGGATCCATATTGGCAGTCATCGCATCCATGCTGGCTGTCATGCTGTCGCAGTCTGTTTGATTAGCACTTGGGAATAAGAAACACCCCAAGGCAACAAAACGATCCCAAAGGGGTTTAGGTATCAGCTAATAACAAGCATTAGTGCTTTGACTAGATAAGTTATAGCAGGACCTGTCGGGAAGCATAAGCAGCGTACTGACCGTAGTCGCGATACGGCATCCATGTGAGAGGATTTCCAACAGCAAAGCCCTTGAAGTTGGGAAGGTCCAACAAAAGCATGGCCAGAGTTGGTATATAATGACCGCCATAGCTCTCACTGGTCAAGTAAAGATCATTGTCCTTATACATCGGATATCGACTGAGAAAGCCAAGCACGAAGGCTCTGTTGTCCTTGGCTGCTTCCGCGTCGCCATAGGTCATGTTTGAAGGGCCTTGGGAGAAGCCAACACCAGCTGGCTGTTCGATGAAGATCATGTTAGCCACACGATTCCATGAGTACTTGTTGAGAGACAATTGCCCTCCTTTCTCTGCTCGGAAAGGACCCTGCTCGCTAAGAAACCCTGTGAGACCGCTGCACCCTGGACCCCCGTTGGTCCACAAGACAAGGGGAGAAGATGCGGGATTCTTCTGAGCTTCGACAAACCAATAGAAGAGCGATTTTCCACCACCAACAGGGATGTAGCCTATAGAGCATGCTCAGTTGCATCGCAACATCGCAAACTGCTTCAACCCAAATCGTTACCTGCGTATTGCTTGAACTTGCTCACTTCCTTTGGCAGTCCAGGAAGATCAGTGATCTCATCAGTAGCTCCAGGAGCCAGCGGCTCAGCCAGCCCTCCTCCTGCTCTTCTTCTGCTGTGCGTCGGCACTGCCAGCGCTACCTGCATTCCTATCGCCACCATTGCAACAACAGCCATCCAAGGCGCCATGTTGTTGCAGGGCATATCTCGTTGGAGTGAAATCTTTACTCAACCTCCCATGCAAAATGGCGAGGACAAAGGTAGTGTTGGTGCATGGCGCCGGAGGAGGAGCTTGGGAGTGGCAGGAATGGGAGAAGGAGCTGAGGGAGCTTGACAACGTCGAGATTGTAGCTGTCTCACTAGAACCCAACAAGGACAATCTTGCGGCGACTGGGCTCGATGACTACTGTGAGCAAGTTACCAGATACGCTGCCGGGGATCACGACACAGTGCTGATTGGCGCAAGTCTGGGCGGCCTCCTATCCCTTCTTGTGGCGCAGAAATGCACAGCACGAGCTCTGATCCTTGTTGCAAGTGCGCTGCCTGCTCTACCAGACTCTCCAGTGAAGGTCCACGAACTCGGTCACGAACCGTTTCCTGCCGTCATACGCTGGGCAGAAGGTGACTTGGAGGCGACACGGGTGTGCATGCCAAACTCAGGTGTGAAAGAGTCCGGAGAAAAGTCATGATGCTTGACTGTTGACGGTCTTGAAGACGATGAGTTGGTAAACTTGGCTTGGCGTTCATGGCGGGTCAGTATGGGGACGCTTAGTGTTTCCTTTTAAATGTCATTTGGGACAGGATGAGTCTGGACGTGTGCTGAATGAGATTCGAGAAGGAGTTCGTCTCCACAAGAAGCCTTCTTGCCCAATTCTGGTTTGCATTTCCCTTGTATTCACTTTCACTGGTTTCACTTGTATTCACTTTCACTGGTTTCACTTGTATTCACTTTCACTGGTTTCACTTGTAACTTACATTTTGACATTTCAACTAGTTCGTTGTTCCTGGTAAAGACGAAGAGATCCCTGCCTTGCACCAACAGATCGTCGCGGAGCACCTCGATGCAGAGATCTTGTCGTAAGTTGTCCCCTTCTCGCAAGCTTATTCTGTTGACTCTGCTACTTCCAGGTACCCCGAGTTGACTCACCTTGGGCCGTTGCTGTCACGTGAAGCACGTACTGTAGCGGCTGCTGCAGCACGTTGGCTGAAGGAGAAACTTGGAGAAGGGAGATGATCTTTTCATCGCATCATGCCTTCAGACCAGCCAACATCCTTGACAGATGTTGAGATCTGTGACATCTCCATCTTCTTCTCCTTGAGGTATTCCAGAGGAGACTCGTGTAGCGCCTGCATTCTTGCCATCGCCGCCTGTTTGAACTCAGAGGTACCGACGATGGGTGGTTCGACCCTCATCACCTGCTTGGCCTGCTTTTTCTTCATTCTCCTTTCCCGCCTCTCTTGGACTGCCAGACGTTCTCAATGCTGGACCAACAAGATCACCTCCGCTTACAAGTCTCGTCATGAAAATCTCGATTGTTCAGCCTCCTTCTGAATGATAAAGTGAACACGTTCTATTGAGCTGTGATGAAGGGGTTTAGCAAACCTTTTCTGATGTTCTTCTACCCAGGCTTGCTTATTCACATCTTCATCCTGGTATTCCGCATTCAAAGCTTCATCGAGAAGTGCATCTTCTTTCACTGTGGCAGCCTATCTCACTCGATTCAGTTGAAAACGATTTGTGACGATAGGAACGACGTACAGCTCTGCTCTTTCTTGCGTCAACAGACTGTGCCCATTTCGCATAAGCCTCTGCGCACATTCATCAATCACGCATGGGGAAACCACCACACAGCATTCACCTGATTCCTTCTCGCTGAAGATTGTCTCGATGGTGCCGCTGGTCATGGCGGTTTCTTTCTCTGACGCGATCTTCATCAACCTCTTTCTGTTGATGAACGATCGCACCTGAAGAAACAAAAACTTCAAAGTTCGCAAGTCAGCCTCTCGGGTGATACCTGGCAGATCGCTCCTACCGCCATCAGCACCCCCAGAGCTGCACCCACGCACGCGTAGACAACGGTCAAGTCGGTCTTCGATTCTTGTTTGACAAGAAGCGTTTGGTTTCCAACCGTCGAGTTGAAAGGAGGCAACACAGCCACTTCTTGCAGCATCACAGCATAAAACGAGAAATGCAGGATTTTGCTCCGAACAACTTTGTTCACGGTATCCACGACACTTTCGTACTCCTGCAGACGCTGAAAGCAAGTGTTTAGAGGCCTTAGAGTTCTTATCAGCATTCACCTTCCACTGTCGCGTGATGTTGTCGAAGGTGAAGATAAAGAGTTTCTTGGATGAGCTCTCTTGTATCGTATACCCCAGCGAGATGGCAGCTGGCTGTGGGAATTGTAGTCCTTCCGGCCTGAAGTCCACGATGCTGCCCTGCGAGGACTTTTAGGAAACAACCCGGCTGCAAAGAGACTTACAGCGAAGACAAAGTTGTCCGAGGTAGAAGGATGATAGTCTGGCGGGAGTGAAAGCATGTCGATGCTGTCCATGGTGATCGCCCCGAAGAAGTTCAAATTCTGTTTCGGGATCTCGATAGCATCACCTCCCACGAGTGAGAGACTCTTTACTGCATCCTTCATTTCGCTGCTCCACTGTAGCTCTGCTGTACGCAAAACCCGCAAACTTGTATCACAGAATCGACCGGCGTATCCTCTGTCACACAAGCACTCTGTGCCGGCACCGCTGCAGGCTCCATGCCCGTAGCAGGTGACAGGAGCGTAGCAGCCTTGGCTGATGAAAGAAGGGGAGAAGACTTGAATCGGAGGGCTTGAAATCGAGAATGCCAGCTTCCAGGGTCCTCCAGCTCTACCCAAGCGAAGGTCTGTGAACTTGCAGATGCCGAAGCAGCAGCGCACACTGCGAGTGCCCAGCAGGTCTTGAGCTTGTGCACCGTCAGGGCTGTTCGTCTCCGAGATCAGTCCCACTTGTACTCGCGTCTTGCTGTCTGCCTCGACCTGTCGGCCGTCAGCATCAGCAAGCATGACAACTGGTTGACTGAAGACTTTTCCTGACGCGATGAGCAACTGCGGTGTCTGAAGAAGTCGCAAGCTGGTTGCAGAACCTGTGATGTTCAAGTGTTGTTGAACGCCCTGGCGGAGAATGCCTGACGAGAAATGAAGGATGACGTTGGAGGCCATTTGTGTGATCAGCAGGCCGCTGAAAGTAGCTCGACCGTCTTGAGTCCTTATGATGAGATTGTCCAGCCTAGAGCTAGAGAAGCTAATGTGAGAAAAGCTCTCAGGGATCGACACAGCCACCCATCGTGACGTGCTGTCACGTATCACGTTGCCGCCTCTATCGTCGATGCTAACCACAGGCTGCTGCTTGCAGGTGACGTTGACGATGCACTGCCCTAGGCTCAACCGCACGCTGACCTTGTAGGCGACGCCTTGCACGACATCGAAGGGCGGCCATGAGTCTACGAACAAGGAGTTGAGGTAAGGAGAGCCGGGCAGGAACTGCGAACGAGTCGAAAAGTGGAAGGTGTAGTTCTTCCCCGCAAGGCTGACTCCCAGGTCCCCGTAAGTCACCATGCCTGACGTCATTCGGCTGGAACGCGCCGACCCCACGGGCACCAGGTCTGGAAGACAAGCCGGTTGATCGACAGGATCGCAGTTCAAGGCGACAGCAGGGTTGCCGTTCTGATAGAGCTCTGCAATGACCTCCACGTTGTTGACAGTAGTGATGGGATTGCCGTGGGCGTCAAGAACGAGGATTTGAGGCTGTACCGTCAGAGCAAACCCAGGAGCAGCCCCTGCTGGCTGTCGAGCTACGTAAAGTCTGCTGGGAATGTCCCTCTGGACTGAGAAGCTCGTCGTCTTTGCGCCGGTTAGTAGCTGCGCGTAATCGAGGAAGTTGAGGACATAAGGGCCACCCTCCCTGTCAACCGCGAGGTCTGTGAAGACCGCGACTCCCTGGCTTGTCAACTGGATCAGAGTGCCGTAGAGGGGAGGAGGGGAACTCGCTCCTGCTGGCAGCAAGTTACCTGACCTGTCGACGTAGGGACCTGGGTAGGAACATACTGACAGGCACTCGACGGTGACAACGACCTTCTGGATGGTATCGAAGATCAGATTTCCTCCCTGATCTTGAATCGTGACCTCCGACGGGCTGATACTCCTGCCAGCCTGCTGGACTGTTGCTGGACCTTTACGAACGAAGAGTCTTGCGGGCCTGCCAACAAGGACGGAGATGGGGGCAGAGTCTGCGGGGAGGAGGTTGCAGGTGAACTGGTTGAGGCAGGACTTGAAGCGGAGAGAGAGACATGAGAAGGACAAGTCGATAGTGAGGGTTGAGAACTGAGAGACGCCCGAGGTCACAGGAACGATCGACTCCTTCACAACCGTTGGCTTAACAAGTAGAGAACTGGGAGTCAAGATCTCTGCTGTGACCGTCATTCCTAGGCTCGTATCCGCCACAAAGTTTCCTCCCTGATCCACAACCTTCACGACTGGCTGGATGCTCAGTGCTGAGTTCCCCGTGCCGTCCCCTGGCTGTCTGGTGATGGTCAGAGCATATGCAGGGCCGACGGTGAGGGTGAAGAGAGTCGAGTTGACCGAGAGCAAGCCAATGGAAGAGGAGAAGGAAAGAAAGAATGTTCCCACAGGACGCACACGGAGGTTGTTGAAAGTGAAGAACTGCTGGGGGAACGTTTGCTGGGTCGACAAGGATGCGAAGAGGTCGCCTGACATGAGCGAGTCATCTAGCCTGCTTCCGGTTTGGCTGTAGAGCTTGGCTGTCACTCGAGCAGCTTCAAGCTGCAGGGAGTTGATTGCAACGAAGTTTCCTCCCAGGTCAGTGATCATTATGCTGGGTGGCTGCGAAAACTGCTGGCCCGGAGCAGCTCCAGCGGGCTGCTGGATGATGGTCAACTTAGAGGGAACGCCGATCTGAATGGAGAAGGTGGAAGTATCTCCTCCTGCGCAGGGATACTGAGGGATGGGAGCGAAGGGATACTTGGCGCATGACGGGCTCAGCTGGTCAGTGCCGAATCTGAGGGCGAACAACTGGTATTGCGAGCAGAGAGCGTTACCTGCCTCGTTGCAGCCGTTGACCGCCAGGTCCGTGAAGCGGATTATTCCTCGAGCTGCCTGCTGTGACGTCTTGCCTGAGATCAAATTGGAGGCTGAAACCCATGCTCCTTCGACCGCCTTGAACACGAGGACGGTGATGTAAGCTGTGGTCGAGGAGTCCGAGGTAACCAGCCGTCCTCCGGCATCGACGACTGAGAACAGTGGCTGGAGGGGGAGAGGAGCCCCTGAGAACGAGGAGGGGAGAACGTCTTGTCTGAGGGTCATTGAAGCTGGAACTCCATCGCTGATGTCGAAGGATGCCGATAGCGCCGTCAACTGAGAGACGCTGGGGTTGCAGGCGAGCTCGCAGCGGAACTCGAGGACGGCGCCAGAAACAGCCTGCGAGTATTTAACGTTCTGATAGGTCACGACACCGTTGAGGGAGGTTTGTGTGGCTAGCAGGTACTTGTTTGACCCGACAACGATGAACAGTTCTGTTGAGAACGTAGCTCCCACGATAGTGTTTCCACCCTTATCCAAGAGATGCAAGACTGGCTGAGGACTGAAATTGGAGCCCACCACAAACGTAGCCGGAGATTGTTTGACCAGCAGATTGAAAACTTTCCCGAATGTGACTTGAATCGGGCGAGATAGAACAAACCCGAAGAAGGAAGTTGGAGCAGGATACTTCTCTGATTCTTGGAAGTAAGGACCAGAAAACTTGAGGGTCACATCCGCCGCTATCATACATCCAAGGAAGGAGTCGACAAAGTTGGCGATGCCGCTCTTGACGATGCTGGAGGTGTTGCCCACGAGCGTTTTGGGCCCGGGAAAGAGAGAGGCAGGAGACGGGAGAGCAGATGCTATCTCAACCATGATGGAACCATTGTTGAGGTTGAATGCAGTGTTTCCAAATTGATCTTTAACCGATACAACAGGAGGAGTCGCAAAAGGTTCGCCCGCAGTTTCAGTCGTACTTTGACTGAGGATTGAAAGGGCCGTTGGGGGCCCAGGGAGAACGACGAAGTTCTGCTGATTGAGGGTGAGACCCTGAACAGAGAAGATGAGAGTGTATCCGGTTGCATCTGCCACGTTGAAAGAAAGATCCGTCCAAACCGCAACCCCCCACCGATACTCCACGGTCGTCCTGCCCAGCAGGGCTGCATTGTTTGCGGCAGGGAAGACAGTGATCGAGGCCATGGCAGGAGATTCGGCTGTGCCATCCCACCATTCGACTTTCATGCCCGAGAGATCGACGAGAGTGGCTCGAGGTTGAGGATCGAAGCTCGCTCCAGCGATTCCACGAGGAGCGAAGGAGGAGAGGACGACGCGATCTGCGATCCCTCCGACGTCGAAGGAGCGAGAGAAGATCGACGCGAACGGAGGAGCAACAAACTTGAGCCGCAAATTCTGTGCGGTGGTGCTGGTGTAGGAGGAAATCGCGAGATCCGTGAAGGTGACAATACCAGAGGTCGAGGTCAGAGTGAGCGTGCCGACGA